CAATGTCCTGCTTGTTGGGTTTGCAGGTCTTTAGCTGGAGCAAGGTGGCCATACTGAGCATCGTTGTAGCGGGCTGCACTTTGTGTGCGCATGGCGAGGTCAATTTTGTTTGGGCTGGGTTTCTTCTCCAGATCACATCGCAGCTAGCTGAGTGCTCCAAGAACCTTATTGGAGAGATGGTGATGTCGGGTGCAGGCATGAAGCTGGATGTGTTGACTTTTGTCATGTTCCAGGCACCTTGCTCTTTGCTGCCTTTGCTCCTGAGCGTTGCACTTTCGTGGGAGTCAGAAATCTTAGTAGCCTTCCTGGCACACTGGCCAATGATCCTGCTGAATGCACTGAATGCTTTTGCTTTGAATGTCATCATTGCGACCACACTGAAGCGCTTGTCTGCTGTGGCATTCGTCATCATTGGCATTGTCAAGGACTCGGTGATCGTTGCAACATCCTCCCTCCTTTTCGGCGATTACATCTCTGCGCAGCAGCAGGTTGGCTTTATCATCATCATGACCGGGATTGCGTGCTGGAGCCACCTGAAGATTAGACAGCAACAGGAGGTTGAGAAGCTCAAGGAGACAGAGCCACTAACCAGACATGGGCCAGTCCGTGTTTGAGGATGTGAGCTCATGTGACATGTAGTGTGATGTTGAGACAATTGCTCAGCTGCCCTGTAGCATTTTGTGACCCACAGCGATCAGCTGGGTGCGACTAAAACAATAGATACAGTAGGGAGAGGTGGAATTCAGTGACGTTCGGTGTTGCGATGCTTGCACCAGCCGATGTTTTGACAGCATGCTTAGCTGCTTAACCAATAGCGAACCGACCATTCAACATTTTGGCTTGGTTGACATTGAGTCTATATAATCACCGCAGTGGCCAGATGTGGCCAGCAGCGTTTGTTGGGATAGTGCTAAGGCCTAGTGTGCCCTTTCCTCGCTTTGGTGCAGGCATGAAGCTTTTGATCTTAGGCTTTGTGAGTCAAGAAAGGATCAAAGCGCTAACTATATACTGCACTTTTCCAGGTGAAGGCCCGCAGTGGGGAGACCTGCAACTGCGACTGCTCCAGCAGCACTTCGGCAAGAAATAGGATTCACCACCAGTCAACAGTTTTGATAGATCATATTCGCCCTTAATGCTTCATGAAGCTGGTCACACTCTAGGAATATTTCCATGTAGGCTTTGGCAGGTATGAGCAAGCTCCTCGCTCCTGTTGCCCTCCGAAGAGAGAGGTCACCCGATTTAGGATTCCTAGTAGCGTCCTTGTTCCTAGTAGTAAGGCCAGGAGCCCCTAGTAGCATCCTTGCTCCTAGTAGCGATGCCAGGAGCCCCTAGTAGCGTCCATGTGTTTAGCAAGAATGTCTCATCCACCTCTTGGATGATACAGTGCCTCCCCAGAGACGCACTTCTGAAAAAATACACTTTGAAACAGTATCCAAGGCTCGAAATGCTGCAGCAAAAGCAGCCCACCCAGTCCACAAAAGAGGTGCAGACAGACCCCGCTGAGGCACATGCCCTTCAGAAGACTTTTAGTGTTGATTGAGCGAGCAGGTCCATGGCGCAATTCAACTGACCATCAAAAATAATTTCAGACGACATATGCGAGGGTCCCATTGTAAGTGAAGCCGTGATTCTGTTTTGCTGGACGCATGCACTACGGTCACTGATGTTTGCTGCCCATGTGAGTGCGCAAGTGTCCTTCGCATATTCTTGCCAGGCTGAAGATGGCCCCGAATCAGAGTCGCAGGCGCGATTGGTCAATGTACAGATGTTTTCACATGTTTTCACAGCCATTTGGCTGGCATTTTACAGCTGTGGTTTGGACAACGCTTGGGCTCAAACCACTTACAGCCTAATACAGCCTAGTGAGGTTTGGGGGAGGACTGAGGGAGGTGGAGCTTTGAGGTGGCTTCGGCTAAGAGATGAGGAACTATGTGCTAACTTGCACAACTGAATATGCAATATATATATATACAAAACGAGATCGGTTCCGAAATATGGTATGCCTTTGGGGACATTGCGCATGTTTGCTTTGAGTGCTAGGATGCACTCACCCTAGACGATGCTAACTTGACACAGCAGGACTTTTAAAATGCATGTTGATTCGGGTTGATCGAGCGAAGTTGGCTGGATTGAGGCCCTCACATGTGGGTGCTTCCTAGTAGGGAAGTTTCACGTCTAAGGCAGAGTTCAAGAAGCGCCAGCACGACTCCTTGGCCGAGCGGCTTTTTCAGTCTGGGTTCATTCCAGAGCCTTGGCTCAGCCTGAGTCGTTGTTGCGGCTACCTTTTACCTTGAAGATTTGAAGGCGTGATTGGGCACCGCGTTCACTTTCCGGTGCATTTCACAAAGCCTGACAATGACATTCTAGAGCCTTTGTTGCTTCTAGGCTTGGAGCATGTGTCAAGAGTTTTTGTGGCGCAGAGCATGGCACGCAACAAAACATGACCCACATTCCGCTTCGAGTCGATCTAATTTATAATTTAGCCAGGAGGTTGAGCATACTTACTGAACACATCCAGACTTTCCAACATGGCTTAACTGTTTAACCCTGTTGAATGGCAGCAGCTTAGCCATTGTTCCCCCATTGTCGTGTCAGCAGCTTCACGGCGCTCAGGAGTTGAACGCCTCATCTGGAAGCATGAGCACGGTCCTTCCCACGCCGATGCCTCAGCTCAGCTGTTGTTCAGTCATCGGCAAAGAACATCAGCATGGACGGTCTGAATCAGCTTCAGAACTGTGCTCCAGACTCTCACCATAGGGTGCAGCGTGCAGCAATGTTTGTAAGACACGGGTAATGTTTATCAGTTTATCATGTCTCCTGTCTCCTTTCTTACCATCGCACAAAGGATCCCAGATTGCACGATACAGTGGAATCACAGTTTCCCGTGTGCATGACTTTTGCACAGAACATGTTTGTGCTGGCCACACCCCAGCGGAGAAGAGACTAATACTGGTAGAAGAACGAGGCAGAGATAGAACCAAATGAACCAAAGATAAGCGTCGGGACATTCGTGGTCTCGGTTTTGGGACAACTTTATTTTGGCCAGGTTGGCTTTGTCCACTTTATGCTGTTTTCACCACGGGAACTTTATTTTGGCATTTCTGGTTCCGCACCCCATGCCCATGTTGTCAACAGATCTTTGCAAGGGTAGGCCCTGAGCACTTTATATTTTTTCAGGGTGCCTAGGCAACCTGTTGATAACACAAGGGTATCTTTGTATATGAATTCCAGTTCCTCAAAGCAAGTCGTTTCAGTGGGCTTTGATTAAGTGCCAGAGATGAGGCGTTCCAGGCGTTCCAGATAAAGGTACACGAAAACAGCAAATCGCGTGTGGTAGTGTGTAAAAAGCGCGTTTCGCCAGTTCCAAGTGTTTTGAAGCTTCCCAGAAGAAAACAATATGGAAGACAGGTGTATAAGTCAGTCGGCGACACAGCCTTTACGTATTGCCCATAGTCCGAAGCCGCACTGCTCTTAGGGGTCGCCACGAGAGCGAGGACACGGAGCAGCGAGAGTCGGAGCCGCAACTTGGAGCGATTTCAGTACCTTTGCAACGCGACAGTTCAACATTTTTGTGGAAAGCTGTCATGTCCACTGGTTCTGATCTTGCTTGGTTTGGGTGGCTCAATGGTATTGTGAACTGTTCTTTCCCCCTCAACTGAACAGCCACTACACTGATGCTGTCATCCATCGTTTCGCTAGCTTGGCCGATTTGAGGGCATCACCAGAGCTGAGCCAACTGTCGGGGTGCTTGAGGTGGGATTGATTCTTCCTCAGCCAGCATGGAGGTACACCCCGGATATTTGAAGAATCGCCAACGCTGCCGCCTGTGCATGGTGTGTTTCAATATCTCCCTTGAAATGTCCTCAATAGCCGTGGCGTCGGTGCAGTTGACTTAAAGCATGCAGCATCGGCCGGAACCAAACGCGCATTACAAATCCCCACACATCACACAGAAAGGAATGAAGTAGGAAAGGGAAGACAAAACATAGAAACGAGAAAGGACACAGGCATACGCTCACCTATATACTAACTTTGGGCTGGCCCGAGAGAAGCATTGCAAGCACCTGCAAGCTATGCACGAAGTCAGGAAGTATCGGACGCAGATGATTGGAGAAAAGAATAAATACACGGGGGATTGGTACGAAATCACCATGTTCACCTTTACAGTAAGATCTGATTGGGAGTCAAGAAGTGGTTTCCTCAATTTGTTGTTGAAACACACGCAGTATCTTGAGCCATTGACCTCGTTCAACAAATGCTTTTATTAAGTCACTGTAGTGTCGCTGGTGGCACTGGTTTTGTGAGCCCGAATCTCCGAGAAAAGATGCAAGGGTCTGGCGGGAGGAGGACTTTGTAATGTAGTATATATATATATATATATTGTTACTCACCCTCTCCCTCGCCTCTCTCCAACAATCATGGAAGTGGAAGTGAACTTAGAAAGACTGAGTTCCCCTACGCAAAGGGGGTTGGCCACTTGCATGTTTGTTCAAGCAAGAGTAGGTGTGGAGGAATTGCTTGTTAGAGGCATTGATTTTGTTGGGCCTTACTACGGGGGTCTCACCTGCCGTTGCTATCCCGTGTTTCTAATGTTCGTATGTCGTTTATTCATTCTTCGCTCGGGATTTTGAAGCAAACAATTCAGAATCTAGGTTTGGGGTGCCACAGTCCTTTCGTAGTCCAAACACATCCGTCCAAAAAAGAAGTCCCCACGCATCGGAGCAATGAGGTCACGTCCTTCTGCACTCGCGGCTGGGCCAAAGGCTGAAATTGGACATGCTGGCACTCACATTGGTCCACAATGACTTTGTCAATTTCATGTAGGTCAATTTGTGTTGCTGGGCTTGATGATATTCAGTCTTCCAGCCTTTTGATTGCCGAAGACACACTCATGCAAATGAACTGGTGATCGCTGCATGGTTGCAAAGAAAGCCACGAAGAAAGCCTTCATGTTTCTCAGACAGCATCCCGAAGACGTGGCGCAGCCATGACAGCGTGCACTCTTCTGTTGTGCACTTGGCATCAGCTATCGCCCTGGCACAATTGGCATGCCGTATCCACGACATGCGGAACCAACCACCCACACTTAGACTCATCCTTCAGAGTGGAAGGCCGCGATCGCTCACCGAGCAATGAACAACCCTGTGACAAAGAGTTTGCGAGCGTTGGATTGTTTGGAGACTTTGTTTGTCGCATTTGCACTTGGAGAACTCCTTCTACCAATTCACACAGGCAGCGCTGCAACAACCTGCGGCAGAGCTGTCGTAAATTGCATTTCGCTTTGGCAAGCCCCACGCAGAAACTGTGATTGGCCGAAGCCACGCTCAGTGCCCTTCATTCAGCCAAGCAGGCGGCCAATGGCTCTCCAAAGTTTGCGAAGGGTCGAGCACGAGCATGGAAGCGCGCACTGCAGATCATGCTTCCAGTGGGTGACAGCCATACCAACAGCACCTGGCACCCACAGAAGAAACAATGTGGGCGTTCGAAGAGCCGATTCAGAGCCAAGCGCTGGTGGGCGGAATGCGTAGGGATAATTAGGACATATTAGGACCCCCCAGAGCCGCCCACACGAGAGCAGGGCCAAGAGGTGGACGCACCGGGAAGCACAATGGGAAATGGCACTTCTCGTGTGATTCTTTTTCAATGTTCTTGGTAACTCGAGCAAACACAGGCCTGACACTGCAGTTCCACTCCTCTGCTTACGTTCATTGTCAGGGCGATTCAAGCCACTTGAACAGCACGCCAGGCCACGAGTCTCGTTTTGCCCCCTGACACCATTCTTGCTTTTGAGCTCACGTGCACGCGTTCTGTAGCTGTAGCTCATAACGCGCAATGTTTCTTCGATAGTTGTTTGACAATGAATTGCTCCAAGCTCGCCAGCGAAGCCGGTGTAAAGTCTAAAGTATCAAATAATATGATTGGTACATGTTTGCATTGCGCTGCCACCATTTCGCAGGATGCAATCCTCATACTGTAGCACCAGTGAGGATAGCAGAAGGATTCAGTGGGGACAGAATCGGTTTGCATGAAGGCACTTGTTAGAGAACCTGCTCAGGGGCCGCGTCTCCCACAGTTGCAAACCAAGGGAACCTTTTTTGCAAGGACACAGGTTTCATTTGCCTTCAAGACGCTCAAAGATAGCATGAGATGCGCTTTGTTACATTTTGTTCGTTTTGTTACTAGTAGATCTAGTAGCTTCTTGTTGCTAGTAGTAATGCTAGGAGCTACTAGTAGCAATGCCAATGCCCTTTCCTAGTAGCGATGCACTGCATACTTGGGTTCGATGTTTGAGGAAGTTTGACACAACTTCCCAGTTTGACTTGGCTCCAGGCCCAAGCTCAACAGAAGGCTGAGAGGTCTGGGAAACTTTGGGCGAACGACATGTGTTGTGTGGTTTTTCTCTAGTTGACCTTGGCATATTCTTCGGCGAATTCGGGGATCAAATCTGACATGGTCACCCTGCATTTTCCTGGTGCAGCCTCAGTATGTCCAGGTGTGCAAATTCCAAACCAGAGGTTGTACTGCCTACAGGGAGATTGCAGGGTGTGAGTGAAGGCAGGCAAGCAGTAGCGATAGCGAACTCTCTTCAGATAAATGATTGTCCCCATGCTGTTTTGTTTCGCTTGGTTGCTTTGTGTCACTTTGGCTAGCTACTAGGACGGGATGCTCTGCACACTGCTGTACATACGGCGGTTCATGTAGAGCATGTTTGGCCACAGATCTTGCATGATCAAAGGTCGTCAGACGGCAACATCGTGCAGGAGCAGATGGAGTATATAGACGGAGAATAATTACAAGACTCAAACGAAACCAGCTAGCATTCGCATGTGGAGGGCAGCTGCAGGATCAACCAGTTGTTCCATGCCCAGTTTTTTGCTGGAGCTATTGACCCAAAGACTTGCCCTGCATATTCCTTGGCATCTCATGAGTCACTTCCCAGTTGAGATTTCTCATCGTTTTGAAGTGTTTCACTGCAGAACCTAATCTTTTCTGTATGTGTGCACATCTTTCAGGATTCAAAGTCGCTCGCCTGCACTTCGGTGGCCTCACCCAGGTGAGGGCGAACTTTACTTCACACCTTGTCTACGCTACAGTAGAGCCAAGAAGAACCAACATGAGCACCCCACCAGTGTCAATAGTGACTAGTGACTAGAGGTGTTTCTTGTGTGGACGGTACTTGGTGAAGGCTGATTGTTGCCTGCTTTGACCAGTTGCTGTTTTTTGGTCCTTTGCCATCACCATCACCCTACTATGTCTTAACCAAGGCTGAGGTCAAGTCACGGTACTCAGGAGATGCTTGCTATGGGTGGTCGGGCAAATTTTGTGCTTCCAGATTGAGCAACCGAAGATTTGGTCAGTATTGATGACCTTTTTCTGTTCTAAGTAGTTTGGCTTTCCATCTGCTTTTCTGCATCAATTAATTAGAAAACACGTGCAGGATATGCTATATGTACGATACCTAATACAAACAATAATTCGTCAGGAAACATTCTCAAACATCAACGCTTGTCAATATTGAAAGCTGGCAGTCATCATTCACCACAGGTTTGTCGCGTTAGGGATCAACCAGGCAATTGTTTCATGCAAGCATATTACCGCACAAACGGGGAGAGAACATTTATTGGACATGCCAAACAGATATGCGACCTTGTCCAACTTTCCGGTCATTGTCATTGTCCCTTTAGACATTGGTCCGCTAATCCATTCACTTAGAGGCAGAACGGGACATCATCCACAGTGTGGAGTCTGAAAAAGACCCAACGTGACCGTCTGTGATGTTGGTGAGCAGCTGCAGCTCAGCAAACCTTGTGGGTGAGCAGCCAGGAGAGCGACTCTCTTTCTTTTGACAGGTTTGAGGCCTGGAGGACCGATCATGTCAAGGTGTTGCTGGGAACGCCACGCAAGAATCGTCCGCAGCAACCGATTTTGGTTATGTTGATTCTGGCCGATGCCAAACGAACACCTGGAAACAGAACCCTCAAAGATCCAGCTGCAGCTTGAAGTGGTAGATAGTGGTAGGGAATCGTGCCAGAGAATGCAGGTCAAAGCGCTAAAGCATGCTCATGGAAGAAAGGTTTCAGGTCAATAATTAGCTGGCGGTGACCGGGCCTGGGCGATTCTCATGCCAGGTTTGTCAGCAGTCCTTCGTCCTGAGCCCTAGTGGCCACGTGCGAACTGCTTCCAGCCCAGCTTCAGGACACATGGCAGGGGAAGGTTATGTTTTGAGTCGAGCCTGAATTCATGAAAGCCAGCCGGTTCTATTGCGGCATTGACTACCGTGCCCCCCAATATTACATGCTGGTACGATGGCGTGCAACATGGAGATGCAGTTTTCCTAGTCGCTGAGTTGCTGTTCCAGCATTCCCTAGCCTTTGCCAGGAGGACTCGCTGAGAAGGAGGCTGGTGATGCATCTCAAAGAGTATTTTTGACTGTCTACGTTATAAATATATAGTATTAGATAATGATATATAATGTTATTTTGTTGTCTAATTTTTTGGAGCGTTTGTCATGATGAGTTTTCCGCAAGCTATGGCAGAGCGGAAATACCTCAAAATCACGCAGATGCATTGTTTGCTGAAGAGCTGTGCAGGGATTCACAAGGGATGCAACATTTCCCTCAGGGTCATAGAAGCACTCCGCGCTCATGGCGTTCGATGCAGCTCAGACAACTACAGTAACCGCAACGATTTCCACACAGCTTGCCAACTTCATACCCTTGGACATCATCTATAAAGTACAGGCGCAGTCATGGTAACTCCACCAAACTGGTTCATGCTCAGACTTGACAATTACTAGGAGCAAGGACGCTACTAGGGGCTCCTGGCATCGCTACTAGGAGCAAGGACGCACTGCCTCTTACTTTGCACACTTTGTCAACGTCGTAGCGGGCCGTGT